GATTTGTAAGAAAATGGGAAGAGCTCCATGTTGCGACAAGGCAAACGTGAAGAAAGGGCCATGGTCGCCGGAAGAAGATGTCAAGCTCAAGGATTATATCGACAAATATGGCACAGGAGGCAATTGGATCGCACTTCCTCAGAAAATTGGTAATACTTTAGTTTATACTTTTAATACTATGATAAACGACATTCTTCTTAATTTTACAATCAAATTTTTTTCAACACTTATTTGAACCAATGAAAGATGCATTTAACCCCTTATCATAAGTTGTTTATGCTAGGCTCTAATCATACAACTATGCTAGTAATTGCGATTATAAGTTGTTTTATGCTAGGCTCTAATCATACAACTATGCTAGTAATTTAATTTTACGATGTTATCAACGAAATCTTAGAATTTCAGCTTCGCTTCCAAAGTTTCATATAATTTATTAAAAGATGCATTTAAACCCTTGTCATAATTTTGTATTAGATTGAATACCTCAAGTTGTGTTCTGATTTTGAGGTTTTGGTGTAAATTATAGGGTTGAAGAGATGTGGTAAGAGTTGCAGACTTAGATGGCTTAATTACTTAAGACCAAACATCAAGCATGGTGGCTTTTCTGATGAAGAAGATAGTATCATCTTGAGTCTTTACATCAGCATTGGAAGCCGGTCAGTGATTGATCTCTCTTGACTCTATTAATAAGTTAATTAACACCTCATAATCACAGATTATAATATATTTTTCTGGTTCAGAATTAGAGGGGACTTTTATGTTAAAATTCAACTTGAGATTCTTGTCTCTTTACTTTTTGTTTATGAATCTTATGCTGAAACACATGCAAGCCCATGTTCTAAGCTATGATATATCTCATAAAATTTAGGGTTTATATTGTCTCTTTCTCCTTGTTTTGGTGTTTTTGTAATCACCTTTTATACATTTACATATTCAAAGCTGAACTGTAAATGAATAAAAAAATTATTGTAAACCTTCTTATAATTTTAACCTTATTGTGATATATGCAGATGGTCTATAATTGCAGCTCAGCTTCCTGGAAGGACAGACAATGATATCAAGAATTACTGGAACACAAAACTGAAGAAGAAATTGCTCGGAAGACAAAAACAAATGAATCGTCAAGATTCCATAACCGATTCTAATGAG